TGGAGAGCGATTGTATCATGAGTTATTTGTTTATAATTGTTATATTTGCTTCATGGCAATGCAATAATTTAACTTCCAATTATCATCACCCTCTCTTGTTTCATGAACTGTCTACCATGTTAGTAGAATCGTCAGATAACGCTGATACGGAGTCTTGTGTGTGCATTTTGCTTGGTTTTGTTTGTCATGTTTTTTGATGGAAATAGAGAAAGGCTCGGATAGTGGTTATATTGATAGAAAACTTATGTATTAAGCAGGAAGGGGAAGAGGCCGAGGCAGTTATCAAACAGATGCTCCAAGGGGGCGTTTTGGTGGCCGGAACTCGGGCAGGGGAAGTTTTCAGGATGCTGGTGACTATAGTAGACCAAGAGGCGATGGTTATCTGCAACGTGGTTCACGATAAGGAAACTGCATTGAAGAGAAACAGCCATCCATGAAGATCCTGTTGAGAGGATGCTTACAGTTGCTGAAAACCGAGCTTGACTTGCGACATGAAGCTCAGTTTTTTTACTTTTTGTTGGGGGGGGGGGCGGGGTTATGAAAAAGAACATTTTGGAGTTAAAGCATTTGAGACTTTAAGATTGGCTTGTTCTGCGAGTTAGATCAGTAGTCCCCTTGAATGCTTTTTTATAATGCCATTCGGGTGGGAAATTTTGTGCATTTGTAGCCCGATGTGAGGGATTGTGAAGCTTTCCAAAGGGAGAGAAAGGTCTTTTAAGACCAAGAACTTCGTTTGGACATCAGTAGTGGTTGTGATGATATGTCATGTGTTACAATGTATTGTGTTTCTTTTACTCAAATTTGATGAAGACTGTTGCAATTTGATTTAGTTGCCAGGGAGTATTATATCTGAGTACTTCCCGCTAATAATTCTTTTCTCCCGAAATAAATGCATGCAAATGGAGTCCAAGGTTATTTTCGACAAACCAGTGGATAAGTTTCATGCGTTATCCAAAATGTCAAGAATATTTTTATGAATGTAATTTGCTTTATTGTAATTTTCATTAAAATAATTTAAAATTAAATTTAAATTAGTTTAAATGAGTTTTTGGTTAAAATTAAGAAAACGAGATTTTGATGACCGCCAGTGTCACGGGATATCCCTTTATACGCACGCACGCGCACACGAAATCTATGAAATAAAGAATGAGAGAAAAATAATGGCAGTGAATGACAAACAATTGCTCACCAATAATAGTTCAAGAAATGTTCTATAAATTTCTTTTAGTAAATAAATATTTTGGTTGCATACAAATAAACTACTTGCCATATTGAAAAGGGAAATGACATGTCGCATCGAAAAGGAGAAAATCATGGTTAGGTTTTAAAAGTAAAACCGACAATTTTTTTTAAAAAATTGTTACAAATATTAACTGAAATAATCATAGAATAAATTTTTTTAAAAAAATTGTTACAAATATTAACTGAAATAATGATAGAATAAAGTATTTAAGTTTTGAACTGTAATTTTTTTACAACTAAGATTCTCTTTATAATTATCTGAATTGATATTTATGACGCTTTTCTTAATTTTTTTTTTTTAAAGAATCTAACGGTCATTATTATTAATTTAGCTTGTTGGACTCAAATGGGCGTCTAAACTTTTTTGAAATATTGTTTTCACTTATGCTCTTATGGATAGACAGTGATGATCCGATCCAATTAATCCAATTTAAAAGCAGAAGGGTTGTTACCCAAAAAAAACAAAACAAAACGAAACAAAAGGGCAAAGAGGTTCAGAGAACAGTGAAGTAACGAAAAAAGCCCTAAAAAGGTTGGACTGACGGACGGAGAAAAACCATTTTGTTCAGGGCGTGTCGTGTCACTCTTATAATCCGCACAGTTGACAGCAAGAAAATCTCTACTGTGGGGGACAGATCTCAACCAAGATCGAAGTGTGGAATGTTGGTTAAGCGGTTGAGTTCCTTCCTCAGAAGCTTTTCAAAACCTCAGATTTCCAGGTTAATTCCCTATTGATTCTTGCAGCATTTCATTGCGCAAGGGCTTCCTGTTTCTATCCGTAAATATTGATTCCTGTGACTGCTTCTGGATTTTTGTTCTTTTGTATTGTAACATTGAGCATCCTGGTTCTGTTAGAGGCTATATTAATTAAGGTGTGAAAATTAATGATTTTGAGGGTCGTAAGATGGGCAGATACCCTCAAATTGTTTTAACCATCACTGCTACGCTTGAATCCTGGGTATTAGAGCTCAACAAATTATTGAACTCTCCAACTTTTTGCTAAGCAGAGTTGGGGAATTGCATCAACTGGTAGTTAAGGCAGTGGATAGTGGAGGGAGTTCCGACGGCCCCTGATGTGAGACTAGAGCCATGGAATTGGTAGCTCAACAAAATTTGGACTTGCTAATTTTGTATTTTTGCCCCAAAACGTTTACACCGCATAGCAGTTATTTTGGTCAAGGTGAAATCCAAAATCGAGAAAGCTGTTTGATTAAATCAACAAGGAAATCAACACCAGTTATCTTTTACTATCAAATCTCTCTCAGATGAAATCAACTAAACATACAAATTGAGATTTTTCGGTGAAAGAAGACTTGGCAAGAATCCCTTACTGTTACTTTTTGAAAATTTGGTGATCAATATATGAACGGAATGGTCCTTCTTGTGACTATGACTTTGCAGGTCCATAAAAAATGTAGAAGAGGAGGAGAGCAAACCTTACGTTCGTAAGGCAGTTTCATTTGTTTTGATTACCATTACTGGTGGAGTTGCTCTTAGTGCGCTGGATGACCTTGCTATCTATCGAGGCTGTAGTAGGTATTTGTTGTTGTTTATTTATTTTTCCAAGCTTTGGTATTTGTTGTTATTCTTAAATTGAATGTAATTTTCTGCGTTTAAGAGTTCAATAAAAGCAACTTTAGTCTTATCCATAAGCATCTGGCGGACATGATATGGCTAATAAGAACCGTTTTTCCATGTTGTGTAGTGTACAGTTTAGACCTAAGTACAAAATAGGCCTCACAATTCAGTGCACATAGTGATGGCTATCATCCTACCTTTATTACATTTGGAGAAGGTTGTTCGCTGTTGGTTTTAACTGGAAACTGAAGCTGGGCCAGTTTATTTATGCCGCCTGTAAATAATACTAGTAGTATTACAGCCATCTCTTGTTAACATTTAAGATAAGGGAAGGAGTCTATTGGGCAAAAAATTGCGTGCAGATAAGTTTGGAAGACTCATTAAGTAATTCTGTCTTTCTCTAACTTTAGATATTGGATGCTCAAGCTACGTCAATACTTCTGTGTGTGACTGTCCCCCTGAAATTCTGTGAGCCTTAGCAACTTTTAAAATTGTTTGTGGGGAACTTTGCAGCAAGGCTATGGAGAAAGCGAGCAAGAACCAGGCGATGATAGAGGCTCTTGGGGAACCAATCGTTAAAGGTCCATGGTACAATGCATCTCTTGCAGTAGCTCATAAGAGGCATTCTGTGTCTTGCTCATTTCCTGTTTCGGGGCCACAAGGCACTGGGTTGTTACAGCTGAAGGCAGTTCGTAATGGAGGTGAGCAAAGTAAATGCTTGTTTTTATCACATTACATTTTTTTTAGTATCAAACAAAGGGAAGAAGATGATGCGTGCTATTTCTCTTGCCAGTGGCCAGTATGAGAAGGTTTGTTTTGACCATTTAATGGGTTTGGTTGAACAGATGATACCTGGTCTTCCTTTTTCCTTCCTCGTGATTGGGAGATTTTAATCATGGACGCTCTTCTGCATGTACCTGGAAATGATGAAAAGCGCCAAACGTTGCGGATTGATCTCTCTGAAAGGCTGCCTACTCCATGCACTGCATGCACCGAGCGCACACCATGTATCGCACAGAACGCAGAAACAAATATGACCACTGAACAATAATAATATTACTAATTCCGGGAATATACGATTTTTGGAAACCAGGGGATATCAATATTTGTTTTTGCTTCCCTGAAGGAATAAATTTCGAAATTTTCTTCTTGGTGCGAAATATTTTGATATAATTAGCTATGTTATTTTATTACAAAATGGCTCTTGTATTTAGGACTGAAAAAATATTTTATAAATGCGTGGCATGTATTGTGATCTCTGATTGGTCGTCTTGTCTGATTGATCTGTTCTCCGTTAAACAAATGGACAACGGAAGAGGATGGTGATCGACATTCAAAGTCAAACTGCCGTCAATGCTGTGGATCGTATCCGACCGTTTTGTTTTCTCCGTATGAGTATGAATGAATGCTGATGAGCTTATAGGATGCTTCGTTCTAATGGATGCTGAAAGAAATTAGCTGATTAAAATCATGATTCCACATTGACGTGGGGCTGTTAATGGCAATGGAACTTATGGAAGTGTGGAATCCAGTGCGGCGGGGGAGCACGGTGGCACACAGTATGATTTTGGAGGGTATGGAGGAGGAGGCAACGTGTGGTAGAAAGTGTCTGCTGGGTAGCGGACATAGTGGAGGGAGGTTTCATCACGAACTTTGTAAGCTGAGCTGTTACACGGGGACGCCACGATCATGACTCATTCATTACTCATAGGCGCTCCGCTTTCCGAGCCGTGTGATGTCTGGTCCCACCCTTGTCGGCTTGTCGGCGGGTACCGCGACATTTGGTTTCCAACTAGCAAGTTCGCTTTCCCCCAACTCATATTCCTTTGTCTTTGTATTTATCCCCAAGGGGCTTGGATAAATCAGAAATATGCTGCTTCTTTTTTTTCCTCCAATTTTTGAGCTGAATTTTAATCATTTCTTATGTTAAACATAAAACGATGTTCATTTATAAATAACACTCCAACAGAGAGGAAAAGCTATAAAATAAAATTTGGAGCTGTCGAAACGATGAAACTGGTGCGCAGCGGAATGAGAATTATCTGGGGTGCAAAGGACGCAAAAACGTCTAGAAGAAGGAGAAAAGTACAAGGTTTGAGGAGACATTGATGGAGGCGCACAAACCAGACATGTGGGTCACACCGCAATCACTACCCCTTCTTTATCACGGCACCTATCCTTCCTCCTCCCCCCCTTTACCGTCACAACAACACACCTAACCTCACCATTTATCCTTTCTTTTCATTCACCGCTTCGCCAAACTCCTCCAAACGCACTAGCCCCATACCTTCTTCTGTGTCCGCCCTCCCACTAGTTGTCTTAATTCCTTCTTCTTTTAGTTCGTCTTCTGCGGGCTTCGGAACAATTTGTGATGCAGGGTGATTCTTCTCCGCGCTCGATGCTCACGGAGTCTAAAGAGGATAACTTGGTCCTTTCTTCTGAGGATTCGTCTTGCCCTGATGAGTCCGAGCTTGAATTGGGTCTTGGCTTAAGCCTTTCTCATCCTCGACTCAAGTCTCAGCCTCCTCCAACGACTCAGTATGCTAGAATTTTGACTGCTATGGATTTTTCTTCCTCAGCCTCCTCCTCCGCCTCCTCTTCCTCTCCTAACGCGACAGCTGGCACCAAGAGAGCTGCTGATTCTCTTGTCGCTTCAAACGGTCCTAGGTAAATACATAGCCTTCAGATTATTTTCCCCTATCATTTGTTAGTTTTTCTACTTATGGATCCACTCTTTTTATGATCTTAAAATAATAGATTGATGGTGTTTTGGTGATATATCAAACTAGGATTTTTACTGCATTTTTTTCTCGAATACCAGTGAATTTATTGTTGCTACTGGTTCCGGTGAGTCAAATTCTTGGTAATTCACTTCTAATATTGCATCGCAATGAATGTTTACCTGATTTGGAGTTATAATTGTGCTTGGGACTTTAACATTTTATTTGCTGATATGAACTTAACAAAGTATTACTGTATCAATCTATCCTAAGAAAATGAATTTGAAAAATGAACGGGCGAAGGGGTAACTCTGAAATTTTACTCCTAATCTTTTATTTACAAGAGCTCCTGCTCTTTTCCTCCCGATTAAAAGCTGGAAATTTAATTTTATGCTCAAGAATTATGTTACGATGTCTATCAATTTTGCCTCGTGAGAATTATTTCGTGTTCTTATTGCCACAATTCTTTAGAGGGTTTAGCAAATCGTGACCTTTAAGAAACCTAAATTCGCTGTCGTGAAGGTAAAAGCCTGGGGACATTACAATTCAAATCCATTGGGTTTAATAAATAGGAGAAACATATGTCATGGCGTCTCAATATTGGGACAGTCATGCATTTTTGAGTAAAAAGGATTGTTATTTCACAACTGAAACTGAATGCTATCGGAATCTTGAATAATTGGCACACGAGCTATATAGACAAGTAAAACTTTGATCTAATGTGTACTTGGGGCTTGGCAGTTTGACTTAGATTTCGATTCAGCAGTTAGAGTTTGAGCAGAATAAAAAATGAGTTTAAACTACGTCTGTGTTTCATCTACTTTTTGCAGAGTAGAGTTATCGCATAACTCTGCTAAATTGTTGAGTCATTTTCTGCTTTTCTAACAATTAGAATGCTTTCACTTATGTCCCGTGAGATGAATAATTTACAGTTTACTATTTCTCAACAAGTACTTGGTCATTTGTTGAACCGTGTTTCTGGTTCTAACTATTCCCAGTGATGTATTTTGGACTGTGCCTCAGCTGTTTCAACTCAGAAATGAAATGAATAAATATTTGCCACTTTTATCTTCCTCTATTCACTGATGGGATTGTTACTTATTTATTGATTTATTTTTTGTCTTCAAATTCTTCAACAGTCAAGTTGTTGGATGGCCTCCTCTTCGAGCATACAGAATGAACAGCTTTAATAATAATCACTCAAAATCTCCAGCCACTGAGGCGAAGGGTAATCAAACAGCTGCAAGGAAGGCCACTGACAATGGTAGTAATAAAAACAATAGTATTGCGAAAGAAGAAGCGCACATTAGGAGATCCCTGTTTGTGAAGGTAAATATGGACGGGACACCTATTGGAAGGAAGGTTGATTTGAGTGCTCATGGTTCCTATGAAAACTTGGCGCGTGCTTTGGAGGATATGTTTAACGAACCGGCTACCAAAGGTGAGTTTCCTTGGCCTCAGAGAATCAACCATAAAATCATGTGCTAGCTTTATAGATTTAAAAGATTCTCCTCTACCTTTTCTCTTTTCATTGGCATTTGCTCAATTTTCAGCAGGATTAAATGGGGAGGATCGTGGTATTGTCGTTGGAGCAAAAAAGAGACACTTAAACTTGCTGGATGAATCTTCCAATTTCGTGCTGACTTACGAAGACAAAGAAGGAGACTGGATGCTTGTTGGAGATGTTCCTTGGGAGTAAGCATCTTATTCATGATATGACTTTCATACTATTCAATTGCGATGTCCTAGTGACTAAGTTACTGTAACTGAGTACTTACTGCTGTAATATGAGCTCAACTGGCCTTGTTCATAAGAATGCAATTGAGGTTCTGTAACTGAGTACTTACTGTGCAAATCTGCGGGATAGAACTAATCTGCAACTGCTGACACTGTCCTACTTCTGTGAGCTTTTGTTTTTTTTTTTTTGGTTTGGCTTGACTGCTTCTGTGAGAGTTGAGGGTTATGGTTTTGTTGTTTCATAAGGAGAACCATGAAGTAAATGTCTCTGTATTCCTGATCTTTGTTAGAATAAGCTATGTCTGGCTTTGCTTGGTAGTAATTGTTAGCTGTCTTAATAGTAATCGTGAAAATCAGGACTTGTTAAATCTGGTTTGATATTGACTCTTTCCCCTCTATAATTGCAACCAGTATGTTTCTCAATTCTGTGAGGAGGCTTAGAATTATGAGGACGTCTGAGGCAAATGGACTTGGTAAGCAGATGCGCTATTTGTCACATTTTTGACTCAACCCTTGTCAGTATTTTTCTCTAATATAGTTTCTTTCTTATACATGCAGCGCCAAGACTGGAGGAGAAGAAGAGCAGACTGAGAAGTTAGCTCATGTAGATATGGAAACTCTGCATAGTTTAGGAAACACGCAACTTTTGGCCTGTAAAGTGATACACGTTATGGAGGAAAAATAGAAAAAGAAGGGGAAAAAAAAAAACGAAGATGGAAAAGTAGAAGAATGGATTCTGAGATATTTAAAAAGTGAAAACGGGTTTATTTTTGTTAAATGTTGTGAGCGTGGGATGCGTTTCAACTTTCTTGTCCATCAAATCTTAATTGCAATTTTTTTTTTGTGGTAGTGTAACGAAAATTTCTAATTTAGCCGAGTGAAATGGACAAGATGAGTTTTGTGGCGTTGTATACATTGCAATTAAAGTTGCTTCAATAATTAATGGAGGTTGTGTTGCTTGTTATTTGTATTCCTGCGAATGGTCACTTACCGTTGACTCAGTGTGTGGGGAGTTCTCTTGCCGTTGCCGAGGATGTAACTGACGAGATAAAGTGACAGGTCAACAACTGTTTCTTTACAACCGATCATCCCATCATTTCGGCTAGACTGCGCAATTCTTGACTAGACTCGTGTTGTGGTAGAACACCCAATCAACAAGCGACCTCTGTACTTGCTTGCCATTAGATGCATCTGTAAAATAAATTTTTTCCTTTTATATTTATCAACAAGTTATTTGTTTGTTGAAATGAAATGATAAGTGATTTTATTTTCATGAGGAGGGGAATACAAATTTAAATGTTAAGAAATATATTTATTAAAAGAATTTTAGCCTTAAGTTTAATAGAGATTAGTTCCAAGTGAAAATTGACTTGATGATATCTTGAGTTACATCCACAAAAAAATTTCTTATATATTTATCTAATTTATCTCATATAGTGTAAAATTTATTTAAAACAGGAGTATCAAATCCTCTCTATTAAGGGGATGTTTGGGAAGTATCAGAAGTGCTTTTGAAAAATATTTTTTTACAAATTAAAATAAATTCCTATATATATTTACCTCATATACTGTAAAAATATGATTTTAATTCTATCTAAATACTCCTCTGATCCTTAATATAAGACCCATTTAACTAATTTGATTAGATTAAGGAAGTTAGGTAAGTTAGTTAATTATAAAAAATATGACACATTTTCCTAAAACACCATAATCATCTTTTTTAATACCTCCACTCCCTCTTTTATTTGGTTATGGTTGGGAGAGTATCTATAGGGGTAATTTAGAGAAAATTGATAAATATGAGAAATGGGTCTTATATTTAGGATCGAAACTAACTCAACAATTGAGTCCTATATTAAAGACCGGAGGAGTACTTCTTAAGGCTTACTTTTATTTCGAACTTAATTATCCTGATGCGAGCTATAGTGTGTAGATGTGTAAAACGAAACCAATTGAGCGCCTGGAATGCCATCAACCTCCGAGGCCCCCCCCCTCAACGGGTCATCTTGTTGGGTTCACTACTTCACTTGTGGTGTTTGGGCCTCTCTCCAGTCTCCATGTTCCATTTAACAGTAGCAATATTAATTAACCAGCTGAAATTGATCCAAGTGGTAAGCGGTTTGGTACCGCTTAAGTGAGGTCTCGAGTTTGAGTCTCAACGTATGCAGAAATCCCTATCGTGAGACTCACCCACCACATCTAGGTGCGCGACGCGGATCTGATCCAGATATAGTCAGAGTAAAATTCCAGTGAACTAGGTAGACAACAAAAAAGAAAAGAAAGGAAAAGTAACAATATTAATTATCTTATAATTATAATAATAGTAAATTCCAGATGCATGCAACCTGTATCCATATTTGTTGCCAGGTCAGCATGGCGAAGGTGGCCAGTCCCCGCCTGAGATGATAATTCCTTTGTCAAGCGAATGGCTGTCTTTGTTACACACCATATTTCCTTCGAGCCACAATTCTGCTTCTTTTCCACTTCTGGTTCTATAGGACGCTTTCTCTTACTCTCTCTCCAATCTCTCTCTCCTCCTCGCAATGGCAACTCTCCACTCTCTTGCATTGTCGTCTCCGCTCCCTAACTCTCTTCAGAAGTCCCGTTCTTTCTTAGGTACGACCATCCTCTTATGATATCCCCCCAGTTCTGCTATTCTCTGCGTTTTTCCTCTGTTTATTTTTTGTCCTCTCTCTCCACTTAACGCGTAGGGTTGATGAAATCAGGGTGGCCATTTTTATAGAATTTCAGTCAGTTTGTTTGGGTCGGGCAGAAGGAAGACAACAATAATGTTTCCATTTTTTATAGGAGGTTTCGACTTGTTCAAATAGATGCGCCGGCTAATGGTTGATAATTTGTTTCATCTGAAGTTTTTGTAAACTGAAGTGACCTAGGGTTGTTCCATGCTGGTAACTATTTGATAATATAAAGTTTGTAATTTCTCTGTGCACTGGTTCTGTGCGTTGGTGATTGACGACACCACTCTTTTCTGCCTTTATATTAGGACATTGAGGCGTCCTTTACTGATACTTCTGACTATATACCACCGTTTTCGGTGGAAGGAGGAAGTTGTCTGACTTAGTGACTTTATTCAAGGCCACAAGCTCAAGGGTTTCTGGCCTGTCCTTGGTTTGATAATAATTCTCTCTCTCTGTGTGGGTATAACATCTTTTTATTTTTTTTTCCCATCCAAAAAGAGTAGTTAGTGGCACCTTCATTTATCTTGGACGGGGCAGGCTTTGTGTTCCCCCCTCCTCTCTCTGATCTTGCATCCTTGTGAATTCTAATTGGAAAGAAACTAATTAATTTTTGAAGCCCTTAGTTTCAGGTGCAGTCGGGCATCTCTATATTTGATCAATTTTCTGTATCATTATCCCTTGACCTTGGCCTGAAGTGCATGTATATATCTGGCAATAGTAGCAGATAAGCAGAGTAATAAATATTTTCCCACTATCTGGTATTTTTGGTGTACCTGACGGTCTCTTTGTTTCCGCAGTCTCATCTTTGGCTGTTCATCGAAGTACACATTCCTCATTCAATGGCCAGTCTTTATCCCTGCCTCGTCTGAGGCTGCCTTCGGTAGCACTAAATCCTCCAACACGCGGACCCATTATTATGATGGTCAAACCAACCATACAGTTCATCCAAGGAACAGACGAGCTAACGGTGCCAGATGTAAGGCTCACTAAATCGAGAGATGGAACAAATGGCATGGCTATCTTCAGGTTTGATCAGCCCTCAGTTTTCGATTCTTCTGGTGAAGTTGGTGACATCACAGGCTTCTATATGATTGATGAGGAAGGTGTACTTCAATCGGTTGATGTGAGTGCCAAATTTATCAATGGGAAGCCTTCGGGAATTGAAGCCAAGTATGTAATGCGATCTCCACGGGAGTGGGATAGATTCATGAGATTCATGGAGCGGTACTCCAATGCTAATGGTTTGCAATTCATTAAAAAATGAGTCATTGTGCTAACTCTTCTCTTTTCCCCACTCTTCTTTTTCCATTTGTCATGAAGTTGGCTTTTGTATTATAGTAGAATAATGGATTCATGTGCATGTAAATCTATTCACATACACATATCCTTCTGAGTTCATCTGAATTGCAAAAATTTTGCTCTTTCTGCTGTTGTCTAGATCTTACCAGACTCTTTCTTGGAACTGAGTTCATATAGCTCTTGGTTATATGACTTCCTATAGTATGTTTATCTTGCTTTGAAGTTAGGCGAGCAATACCATGGAGCATTACATTATTGCCAGCATGTGTCAACCTGCTTTATCATTAATATTACTTCTTGATAGCTTATTCATGGATGTCTCAGTTTATGTACCTTCTGTAATTGTGTACTGCCTTACTTCACAATCCCAAATTCTGTTTCTCTTAAGGCTTTGGTGCGGGAAACTTTATATCTATTAAATAACACATACTCGGTTTTGAAAAGACAAGTACTTAATAGAATTTTTTTTAATACAGCTAGGTCTGACCAATTATTTAGCAGAGTACTATATTAATGGTCTGCCTATCAAGAAACCACCTCGAAACTTCGCCAACGACTTTGCGAGAGATAAAGTGTTTGAAGCAATAATACTGGGAAAGCAAGGTCTACGACAAACTGAATTGCCATATTCTATAGCTTTCTTGTCCCCTCTGCTATTAAACCTTCCAAGTTACTGCAATGGGGCTTCTGACCCTGTAGGAGCCATTCTGAGAATGAACCCATGTTAAGTGTCCTTCTGCAGATGTCATCGAATCAGCTCCTTTCACCTTCCTTGATATAAACCACACCCTGTAATTCAACCTTTGATATATACGGTCGAATACCAGGCGCCTGGGTTTTACTATCACTTTCACTCCTTGAGGTGCCATAACCTCCAATGAGTAGGTGGAGTTAGGACTTCCCACGTTAGTTAGTCTCCTGCTGAACTTCTTCATACTCATTCCGTCCTTAAAGATCACAGAAAATGATGGATAGTTAAGGCTGAAGCCTTTGTTCGCCCGCAAGATATCATGGCAACTCACTTTTCTGTGAGTTATGCTGAAAATTTCTGATGACGTATATCCAAGTGTGCAAAGATGAGTGACATAATCATCTGGTCCGATATCATAAACGAGACCTGGGTTTATAGCTCTCTCTGGATTCACATGGCCTGCTCCCATGGCAAACACACTTGCTGGTTTATCTCCATCAAGTATGGGGCTTCCTGCCCGGTCGGTTACTTCAGCTGTTGTCATTATCGCAGACTTGATAGCTGCTGGGCTCCATGTTGGGTGTGCTGAGCGGATGAGAGCAGTGATTCCACTGACATGAGGACAAGACATTGAAGTACCTGACATGACGGAGAAGTTTACTCTTCTAGAATCTTCCGGAAGGGCTGTGGGACCCAGGTTTTGAGGCCAAGCAGCAATGATATTGACACCTGGAGCAATTATATCTGGTTTGAGGATTGAAGGGTTAGTAAAACTTGGTCCTCTGGCTGAAAATCTTGCCACCGCTGGAGCCCTGGACCTTCCTATAACAGTTCCTTCAAATTCAAGCCGAGCAAGGGGCCTCTCTGTGGAGTTTATATAAGCTTTTAAGCGAATAGATTCATCAAAGCCTATCAACGTTGCAGGAAGGACATGAACATCAACCGAATCCTCTTCCAAGTTTATCGCTGTGTTTGCCAAAATCATGGCAGCACCACCTGCTTCCTTCACAACTTGACCTTTTTCTGCTCTCCCATTGATGCCTCTATCACACACCACCATTTTACCCCTAACTTTGTCCCTTGGAAGAGACCCTGCGAGGCAAAATTGACTCATCCTATCCCCATCAGTCAGATAAACTAGCTCGAGTTCTTTGCCTGTGCTCATAAGTCGGTTTGCTGGATAAATGGATTCTCCATAGAGAATTCGCCCATTTCCCATGCGAACTGTAGCTGGGAATTTTCTATCCAGTGTGCTGGCACCAACAGTGGCAATCCATGGGGCTTCATTGGCAACAGACATTGCCATCGGGCCATTGTTTCCAGCTGCACAGACAACCGCAATCCCATGTTCCATCGCTCGAAAGCTTCCAATGGCGATATTATCATTGTATAGAGGTACCGGGAAGCCACCTAGAGACAAGGAGAGAACGTCCACGCCATCTCTAATGGCTGCATCCATAGCAGCTAGGATATCAGAATTATAGCAGCCATTGAACCAGCACACTTTGTATACTGCAATGTGAGCCTGAGGAGCCATTCCTCTAGCCACACCAGAAGCATAACCAAGGACATTAGCCGTAGGCACTGATGCTCCAGCAGCAGTAGATGAAGTGTGAGTGCCATGGCCAGTTGAATCTCTCGGCGAGAGATACTCTGCAATTCTTGAAGGTGAAGCTGCAAGATGACCTTTGGTGAAGTACCTTGCTCCAACGAGTTTTCGGTTGCAATGGGAAGAGTTAAAGGCCTGACCGTTCTGGCATATGCCCTTCCATTTCTTGGGAATTGGAGGCATTCCGTGATCATTGAAGCTTGGACTCTCTGGCCACACTCCTGTATCAAGCACCCCAATTATGGTTCCACGGCCAAAACTTGACCGATACCAAGCGTCTTCTCCCCTGGGGTTCAGTCCTAAGAACTTGTAAGAGTAGGTGGTTTGAATCTGGATCTTGTCGTCCGGTCTAATGGAGATAACATCAGGGAGGCTTTGCAAGTGCTCCACTTCAGACTCTGTCAACTGAACTGCAAAACCGTCCATGGCGGAACGGTATGAGTAAAGGAGGCGACAAGAAGGGTCGTTGTCATCAGACAAAATGGTCTGCTGTAAAAAGGAAAGATGCCATTGGAGCTTGGAGGTGAAGAGAGAGCTGGTTGTGCCATGCGGGTCTAGCTGAACTATGTAAGTTGCTAAAGAATCTGCATGGATGGTGCGAATGAAGTGGAACAGAAGAGTGAGAAAGAAAAAGTGAACTTTTTGGGATTCCATGACTGGTAGTACGAGAATTGTATGTGGGGTGCATGATTTGGTGGGAAGGTAGGAGGGGGTATTTGAAGGCGTAAGGGGAGAGAATTGAAAACAGGAGAGCGAGGGAACATGAAGCTCGTGAAGTACAAGAGCTCTTCATCACGAGGATCCTTTGTGAAGGGAGCGAGAGAAACAGAAAGAAACGAGACGGGAGAATGATTTCGGAATCGAGGAGCCTGCTGTGACCATCACGAGATGTTTAGGTTAGCTTTAATAGAAGCTTAAGTAGCCGTTAGTTTCAAATTCTCTCAGTTCACTTTGGCATGTAGATATTAGGATTTGCTATGCTTAGCTTCCTTTTACCCCCTGCCAAGGCACCATAAATCTATCGTGCGAATTTGCATTTAATGCGTCCTCTGTTCAATTCGGGATCAAAGGCTCCATCTTCCGCTGGGGTCGCGTGTTTTATAATGTGAAACGACGTTATTTGTATCTTTATCATTAATTTTCAAGTCAGAATTCAATGATCAAGACATGAAGAATGACACATAAATTTAATCCTTTTAATATCCATAAAACTTGAATTAACTGGGATATAGAACAGTTTATGCAGTTGCACAATCCAAATCACTTCACAAATCATGAATTCCATGGCCATCCTCTAGTGCTGCTTGCTCGAAAATCGCATAGATTTTTTCAGAGAATTATTCAACTAGACCAAAAATGGCAACCAGCTCAATTGGAAAATATGAAGGAATTTTCATCAAGATTAAAGGGGTCGATGATGAAGAGTTCAGCAATTCACCGCTAAAGAATACTCGCGATATAATCTATTTATTTTGTTTTATATGCTTTATTTTGCGTACCTCAAATATTTTCAAACTTCTAAAATATTTTAAAATCTGCTCACTCAGATCATATATAATTTAAATTGAGATAAAATGCAAATTTATTCTGAAAGTTTTTATTTAAAATTGTCAGACACCTAATTCTTTTTCATATTATTTTAGAAATTTAAAAACTGTCATAATTTTGCCTCCTACTATTAAAGATAGCAGCGTTCAATATTAATATTTTAATGATTAATGTTAGTGTTTTTTAATCTTTGCAGGTATTTCAATTACATGCATAAAAATTAAATTTTATTTATAAGATTTAATATTTACTTCTTTGTGTTTCTTTTATAATTAATATAATTTTATATATAGACCTCTTTTGTCAAATTAACCGGGTACAAAGGAATCCAATGATCTACAAGTGAAGATCTTTTTTTTTGGGAAAAATTCGGAGAAAATTCTCAGTTAAAAGTTTTATTAGTGAAAATGACCTAATAAATTTCTATATTTTGTATTAATATGTTGCGAATTTGTGTACAAAATTTTGATACTCTAATGTAAGTTTCTCTCACCACTAAAATTTTAAATGGGGACCTTTTCCAATTTTCTTTTTCCCCCCAATGTTAGTAATCTTGATCAAGTATGCAATTAAGAAATTATTTAGAATAACTTATAAACAATTTTTTAATAATAATTTATTAAATATGAAGTAGGTATATTAAAAAAATTTTGTTTTAGAACCTGAAACATATATATAGATATATATAAGTAATGCCAAGTACTATCACAATAAATATACTAACTGACTTGCTCACTGCATGGGCACCGATTACAGAATTCTTAACAATCCTCCCACTCCAAGAATTACTACAGTTTCTTGATCTAGTCTTGTCATTCAAAAAGAAAAGAAAGGGCTCCAACTGAGATGAGATCAGAACAGCGTGCAGAAACTCGGTGGCATGGGGCTTCTCGCATCTGAGTCTGATCAACGGGGTGTGTGCCGACACTATTGCACCGACAAGGAGAACCACCGTATCCAAAGAGTAAGCGTACTTGGCACCCCAATAATGAGCAAACATTTGCAGGTACTTCTAAAAACTGCAAGCAAAATAAATCAACCTGCCGGATTACTGGAAACTCACCTGGTCATATCCATAAAGACAAACGGAGGCAGCGCAGGTAAGGGGCAAGGATTAGGGCACCCCCCAAATAGTACGAATAGTAACACTGCCATTTTCCCAGAACCACCATGTAAACAGTGCCATTAAGGACAAGTGTCCACTGTCCGCCTTGTCATTAAAGTTTACCTGTCATTTCTCCAAGGCCATCCTCAGCAACCTCAGATTAAATGTACGCAACAGTAAAGCCTTGAAGAATAGGTTTGATTAGCTAATAACAAAATTTAACGCACCCGTTTCTTTATCCAAAGCAAGTTGTCAGACAGGCAGAAACAACAACTGTGGAACCAATGAAACAGATGATTGTT